GAATCCAGCCATTTCCAAATTTGTTCTTTTTCAGAAGTTTAGATACTTCGACTGTTTAATGGACGAGATCAAGTCATAATTGGACATTTGGGTAATGTTGGATTAAGGAACGGATCAAGAACTTGAAGAGTAACGGGAAAAATAGGAACGAGAGCTACAAAATTACCTTATAAATGGAATATTATCAGAACGGACCTGAAAATGTCATGTCACGCCCACAGAAGATTGAAACGAGAGCCTGAATTAAATCGAAACCTAGATTTGAAGATTAGAAGCTTGATTCTACGTCACCCATAGTGATATAAAATGCATCACTAATCAATGTAAAAAGTAAAACATGTATAAATACTAATTCTACCGGACGGTAACGTCGACAAATAAATAATTATAATAATATACAAATTTTGGATACACATCCAGGCAATTTGTTCTCAAAGCTTGTATCACAGTTCGTTTTAAGAACTTCTGATTTTCTACGCTGCTTCAGTTTAACTCGAAACCTTTCAATTCGAGCATAACAATAAATAGTTGTCCATTAATCTTTTGGTAGGCACACTTAAAACTTTTTAAAAAGTTTTTAAAAAAATCTGCAGCAATCCTTCATATTAGTCATTTCTCTCTCGTACAAATTATTGGCACTAAGTAGTGCTTCATTTCATTTTACAAGTGGTACAGCAAACACAATAGAAATGAGCAAATTATAAGAATGCGAAGAATGAGAAACAGAGAAAAAATGCTCGAAATTTTAATGAGTGAAATAAATTTCGATGTAATTAATGTTGTGCCGTTTAGAATGCACAGAGAAAGAGATGAAAAATAAAGAGTTCATTTCCTAAATAACGTAATGAGTCTTGAAGCTGCTGGAAGTAGAGAATGTTCCATTCTTGACAAAGCAAGCGAGCAAGATAATAGTTGGTAATCACTTTCACGAGACTCCCTCTTTTTAGCGCATTTTTGAAAACTTGTTTTCGAAAAGGGAGCTCAATAATACACTTTGTTCGTTCGTTCGTTCGGGCAAGCATAAAAACTTTGCAACCAGACATCGTAGAGAGCTCGGATTTGTTTTATTAGCTCCGTTACTATTGTTTATTGTCCGGTCGAACAGTTAAAAGTCTTCAAGCAGTGTATTTATGCTATAAGTAATGAGTTTTTGTTTTGTTTTCAGTGTAACCTGCTCAAATTTTGTTTTACCTCTATAAATTCAAATTTACCTCTATAATTTCAAATTTTTTCTAGCCGTTGTAAAATTTCAAATTTTAAAAAACCGTTAAATGATAAACTTTTTCTATATGGAAATTCATTGCAGCAAATTATTAATTATAATCAAATACTGATCGCTTCGTCAAAAATGCGCTGAAGTCCCTCGATCAATAACACGAGGACTTTTGTAATTTTTTTTTCTTCTAATTTTCCATTCATCTAGTTGAAGAGACGAGAAACAGTGTGGATGAGATGGAGAGAAATAATAATTTACTTCGTGGAGAGGAGCTCAAAAAGGGCGAATAAAGAAGAATTTAATTCTTTCACATTAAAAGAATTACATTACACGAAAGCTCGCTAGCTCTTTTCCTCATTCAGCTCCCTAGTGCATAATTTTTAATTATTTTTAAATGACATTTCTCTCCCTGATGGGCTATTTAAGGAATTCTAAATTATTTTTCTTCTATCTTCTTTTGGATAGCTATGGTCAGTTGCTTGTACATTTTTTTGTGATACTTTGTGAGCGAGAGAAGGTTTGTTGTTGCTGGTTAAAGTGTCATTTTGTCACACGTACTGATTCTATGGCCCAGCTGCATAATTAGTATGAAAATTAATATGCTTGATATGTCACAGCCTATCCTAGCGAAAAATGTAAAACAACTCTTTATTGAAGCCTTCATCTGAAGCTAACTTCAGCCACAGTAACCAAATTGTTTGATAAGCTTTAAGTGTGACTGAAGTACGACGGCATGAATTGTTCAATCACTTTGAAACTTTGCCAGAATTAAGTCCACATTACATCAAATTGCGTCCACCAAAAAAGATAATTGTGTCCTACTTCCTGCAAGGCGTGGAAACTATCCCAAATATCATATTTATCCCACATATCCCAAAAATATTCAAAATAATCCCTGAGCATGTATGCACGATAATAAAGATATCCCAACGTTTCCTTAGTGTATTGGAAGTATAATTTAAGGATATGATGGGATATCTCAATTTCAATGCATACAGCTTCAGGGATTATTTTGAATATTTTTGGGATATATGGGATATTTGGGATAGTTTCCACGCCTTGACTTCCTGTGACTGGATATAGCAGGTTCCATTTTGGGTATAATGCCATCGTTGTTCATAAAGTTCATAAATGTTCCAAGTGCGAAAAATAGAGTTGATTGAACATTTTGAAAGGTTAAATTCCGAATGGCACAAGTCGGTTAATCGATCAGTAATCTGGCACCAAGCCAGTGTGATTCTAGCGTGGTGTTAGATTTAAATCGAAGCCAGCATCTTCCCAGAGTCATTTTTATTCGATTAATTGACACGTGTCGTTCGGAAATATCTCAAAATAGACCATTTACGACAGTTGCTAAGTTAAGTTAAAAGCTATTGCCTGGAATAATGGAGACGAAATCCTAAGCTAGGAGGACTTGAAAGCAAGCAAAAATTTTGGCTGAAATCGCTGTGACTTAAGATTTCGTTTCAATTATCCGACTTGTGCTGTTTGGGTGCGCTCATGTCAGCTTTATCAAGTTGCATTTAAACTTGCCTTCCTTACAAAATTCTCAAAAAATCGTTCGTGTAATATGACCACATAAATTCTTTGTGTACTCACTTTTTCATGATTTAACTATGATTATTCATTTATTTTCGTTAAAGCTCTGTACTTCTGCAATAAGTTCACCTGTGTCAACGGTGATGTTTTTGTGGAGAAAGGAGATATAAATTTTATATCTGTTGCAGTGGTTCTTCCCAAAAAAATTATATTGTTGAATTGTGGAAAGTCTCTTTTGAGAAGATGTACTTCATAGAAGGTTTTAGGATGTCAAGATGGGATGTATATTAAATTCGTTTTGAAGAAGGAAAAGAGCTAGTTTTGAAATTTATATCCTTTAGATAAATGTCTGAATTTACGACCAAATAATTCTAAGGGAAGCTACCTTAAATTCCCAACTGTCCACTTCCAAGTTTGCTTACCGAAAAAAAAGCTTTAATTTTGCTAATCAAACTTTAAATATTCACTCAACATAATGAATTTAGTTCATAATCCCTAACGCTTTCATATCATCCACAATGGCTGTGCTGTTAAGTAAACCATCTAACAAGTTTTTTTCTATTTTTTAATTAACTTTCTCGTCGGAATTTTCAATAAGCGAATTTGAGACAATTACTTAACTGTGAAAAAAATTACAATGAAAATGACGATAATAAAACTTTACGCTTTCCATCATCACTTCTCCGCTCATTTCCATCTTTTTTTGTGTGCATTTTTTTTTTTTCGAGTAACGAATGGAAATTGAATTTTTTCCCTTCCCTCTTCTTTGCGTTCATCTCGGTAAAGTGGATAATGAATGGATCAAGTGGTGAGTGACATTTTCCTCTTATTCATTCTTTCCTTTTTTACGATTAGTTGGTATTGTAAAACATGTTGAGCTTTACGATGTTGTCAGGACGGTACGGAAAGAAACATTTTGTTGAATGAAAAAAGTTTTGAATATTATTTGTGGGGGTTAAAATACAAGAGATATTTATGAATAGATTTCGAAAGATAATCAATGAAAATTAGAAATTTTACTATGGAATTTGATTTTATTCACAGTGTTATCTCTTTGGATGAAATCCAGAGCTGAATGACTTTCGAATTGATCATTCAAGCTGCTCAAGAATACATAGGGTTTGGGGAACCTGTTAACAGAAAACAGAAAAACAGCTGTTTTTCGACAAAAATCTGTTAACAGAAAACAGGTTTCAAAAACAGATCTGTTTTCTGTTTTTCATTTTTACATATAATTTTTAGAAAAAAAGTTTTCTTAATTTTTTGAATAACTTAATGTAGTTTCCTTGAATTCCAAATTGAAATGTATTTACTATTTTAAATTTTTTTGGATGTTCAATAGGTTTGAAATCATTATCAAATTTATGATTAATGTTTACTAATTTTGCAATCGAAATTTTAAATTTGTAAAACCTTTTGGAGTATTTACTAAAGTTCAAAAATATAATCAACAATTTTGCAAGATATTTTTTTGTTTAGAAAGATTTTTTGAATATTTCAAATAAAATATTAGAGTTTATGGAACTTTTGCAATGCAACAGTGCAATGTTTCTTAAAAGTATAAATATTTTTTTTTTGAATTTTTATATTCCATTATATTTTAAAGAGTTAATTAACAAAAAATTAAGAAATAATAATGCTTAGGTAGCTCTATAATGTATGCTTAAATGCTTATAACCACCAAAAAGTTATTATTTTGAATTCTAGAAAAACAGGAAAACAGCTGTTTTTAAATATCAAAAACCGAAAACAGACTGTTTTTCAAAAACAGCTGTTTTTTACAAACCCTAAGAATGCATGCTATTTCGTTTATCATAAATTTCTTAATTTAACTTATCTTGTTGATCTTAATTCATTTCATGGTACTTTTATTGGATCAATACGATTGGAATCACAGAAGCCGACTTGTACAACAGTCTAAATTCCATTTTGGATATAGTCGAAGAACTCCCGTTAAAGCGTTAGCTAATAAGTGAGCTGCTCCTTATGCATATTTTTTCGAAAACAAATATGAAACCTAAATCCTGATTTTATCAAACAATATTTAAACATAAAGAAGTTCAAGTTACAAGAATTGATTTTGAACTTTAACTCAAGGGTTCGAACCCCACAATCAGACGATAATTCCAAATTTTGTTAAATAAACCATCTTTTGCCACTTTTTATTAAAGTTCTTAATCCCTACATAATTGTGTCAAATTCATTTATTTTTCATTTTGCTACCTACATTTATATTTAAATTAAATCATTTTCCTATACAAAAATCTCTAAAAATGACATCAAGTATATCGTCTGTCCTTACTTGTCCAGTAATTTTGCCAATACATCTTACAGCACTACGTAAATCCTGAACTAAAATAGCAAGATCCTGTTCCGTAACTGGATTATAGGTTTCCAAAAAATTATTAACATACTCGGAGCATTCTTGAATACAAAATCGATGTCTTTGTTGACTCAAATGTGGATTCTCAGTTGTTGGATTTCCACATAGTTCTTTTAAATGGTCTGTAATTTCACCAACAACGTCATTAATACGAAAAACTTTCGTACAAGATATGGCAAGTGTCTTTAAATCTTCTAGTTCTTGACTTTTATGCTTTGTCATCAGATCAACTTTATTCACAATAGTCATCAATCGTCGCCCATGTAAAATTTCGTCATGTAATCCCAATGTATGAAGATAAACTTTCCGATATTGATCCAAGTCAATTGGATTATTTCCAAAATATTCTTCCAATTTCTTTCCATCCATAACCAAAATGATCAGATCCGATAGAATTGCACATTGTTTGGCTCGTCTTATTCCTTCCGTTTCAACGATATCTCTCGACTTTCTTAATCCTGCTGTGTCCATTAAAACGATTGGATATCCATTGATTTCAAAATTAGACTGTATGACATCCCTCGTCGTACCCGCTATTTCAGTGACTATTGAAACATCCTTTTGGACCAAATGATTCATTAAACTACTTTTTCCAACATTCGTATCTCCAACAATTGCCATTCGTACACCATCTCTCAATCTCTCACCTTTTCGTCCATCAACTAAATGCTGTTGAATTTCATTTTTCAATTCATAAAGTTCCTTTTGTACGACATGAAGGATATCGCTCTCAATATTCTCATCTTCTGAGAAATCTATAAATGCTTCAATGTGTGCGATGTTTCTGATAAGCTTTGTCCTCCATCCTTGATATAATCTCGATAAGTGTCCTTCTGCTTGAATTAATGCTTGCTTTCTTTGCATTTCAGTCTCAGCATGTATGAGATCGGCAACAGCTTCTGCCTCAATCAAGTCCATTTTACCGTTAAGAAAGGCACGCTTGGAAAATTCTCCTGGCTCACTATATCTGACTTTATGGATGTCATTTAGTGCTGATAATAATGCTGACACAACAGAAGTTCCACCGTGAACTTGAAATTCACAGCAATCCTCGCCGGTGAATGATTTTGGACCTGGGAAATACATCACTAAGCCATTGTCGATTAATTGACCCTGTGAATCCTTTAACCCTTTCAATGTCGCGTGACGAGGCTTAAATTCATCAGTTCCGGTGATTCTTCTCAAAACATCTTTTGTTTTATCGCCACTAACTCGAATGACAGCTACACCGCACTTACCATTTCCTAAATATGTTTAAAAATAGACCATAAAGATGAAAGATATTTATTGTTTTGTTGTTCACTTCTAAGCACATTTTCAATGTTACGCACCTGATGATTTATTGAAAATTGTATAGTTACTGTAAAATCGATTTGTTATGAGTCGTCTAAGCATCATAATTCACTATAAATCTTTTACTTTCATTCAAATTTTCTAGGATAAATAAAATTTATTTATTTTCTGATCTTGTTTACTATTCCTCAGGTCTATGCTTATTTTGTACAAAATGCCAAAACAGCACAACCCTAGAATTTATGTTTTGGAAATACGTTAATTTTATGATGTCACATGTATTTTTAAAAATGCTCTTCTTAAACACAAAAAAAAATGAAATTGGAATCACCATCAATTAAGGATTTATACTTTAATGGATATACAATTTTTCCAAAAACAAGAAGTACTTTATAAGGTAGTTTTGTTAGTAATAATTATTCAGTGTCAATCCACAAAATGAATTAAATATCTCCAAATGCCTTTGGTGCCTTCTTTGGTCCATACCAAGTCTCTTTTGCATACTTTTTCTTTTTTGGCTCGTGCTCACTATCCTGCATTTCCTCATCTTGATTCTTAAATTGTACTTGACTTAATGACGCGGATGCTGCTTTCGTGTCTATCTCAGGAGCAGGATTTGGGAAGCTAGGCATGAATTTTGAGGCATAAAGTCCATAAGACTCGTCCATCTTCTCTCCATCGTTTGAAGTTGACGGCAATCCAGCATATAAATTTGGTGCTGAATGCATTATAGGATGATGTAAAATATGCTTATGCTCTGCATATTGATTTGGTGGAGATGAGAAAAAAGATCCAGTGCTTTCCAGGCGCATCCTTTTATTGCTTACTGGAATCACCGTCGATTGTACAAGATTTCGGAACTTTCCGACCGATGGATCAATGTCCTAAAAATACAACATTATTATGCAAAGTCGGATTAATTTAATTAAGCTCAGTACTTCTGGATTAATGACAATTTCTTCTTCATTAAAATGAACTCGCTTTCGTTTTGCACCTTTCTTTACAGTAATTGCTTCACTGATTCCTAACGTAGAAATCTTTCTGTTATTAGCTGTATTATATTCAGTCAAGTTATCAACGTCATCCTGTGATTCTGGCAAGTTACCAATTTCACTCGGAAGATCTTCAACTATATTCTGGGTTTTGATTCGTTCACGTAAAGTGTAATATCTCGTACTTGCTCCAAAATGGAATTTAGAGTTGATCTGTACAACAGTCGGCTTCTGTGATTCCAATCGTATTGATCCAATAAAAGTACCATGCGTTGAATTAAGATCAACAAGATAAGTTAAATTAAGAAATTTATGATAAACGAGAGCAGCATGTATTCGTGAGCAGCTTGAATGATCGATTCGGAAGTCATTCAGCTCAGGATTTCGTCCAAAGAGATAACACTGTAAGATAAATTAGTTAAACTCGATGTGAATATTGAATAAATAATTAATTTTTACCTTTTTTTCATCAATCATGATTTTTTGTACGAATTTATCATCTTTATAAATATCCAAATGCAGTCCTGATGGAGGTTTACCTGCCCAATTTGGAACTTCATAGCTACTTGCCATATCTACGTTAAAATTCACTAAAATTAAATATTTGGGTAATTTGAATAAAACTGAATGTAAACATTCGAAATTCGAACTAAAACTTCGAAGATTTCCCACACCAATACACTCACAGAATCTTTATACTGATACACGATTCATCATTAAGTGAAGATCATAAAAATCACAATATCTTGTTAATTAAAGCATAACAACATTTGTGGATCAAACGGAATAAAATATCCAATTCTTTTCCATAAATTAGTTCAAAAATATGAGCTGTAAAGTTCTCTAATTATGAGAAATCCTATATGATAATCCTATATCCTAATGAAATGTGATTTTTCAGATTCTTTAAATTAAGTTTATTAATTTATTCTCTAAACACAAAAAATTATTCTTCAAGGATTTCATTTTAGCCATAATTATGTACGATATTTAAATGTTTTTTTTTCATGTATCTCGTGTGTTGAATATTAAGTCAACGGATTCGTTTTTTTGTTTGTAAATCTTATCCTTAATGCTTAGAAATTAATTGGTTTTCCAATATAAGCTGCAAGATTTGCCTCTCGGAGAGCTTCAGAGCATGTCTATAAATACACAAAGTGAGAAAAGAAGTAAAAATCAATGAGTAAACAAACACTCTTTAATTATCCTTGATAAAATCGTTATCAAAGTGATGAGAATGCAATGACAACTTACTGGATGCGCGTGACATACTCTAGCGACGTCCTCTGCAGATGCTCCATATTCCATAGCTAATACAGATTCATTGATTAATTCACCGACTCCCTGAAATTTAAAAATCAAGAGTTAATGCTGACTAAATCCAGTGGATTTAATTTTTAAACTCAGGATTAGAATATTAATCCAAGTAGGATTAATTTTAAATCCAACGATTAAGTGAAATCAACTTACTGGTCCGATCATATGAGTTCCCAAAATTCTATCAGTAGCTTTGTCAGCGAGTACTTTCACGAAACCGTCTGTCTCGTTGTTTGTCTTTGCACGAGAATTAGCCATGAATGGGAATTTACCAACTTTATATTCAACACCCTCCTTTTTAAGATCCTCTTCTGTTTTTCCAACCCATGCAACTTCTGGATGAGTATAGACAACAGATGGTACACAATTGTAATCGAGATGCACATGACCACCTTGAATTCCTTCAACACAAATAATTCCCTCATCTTCAGCTTTGTGAGCCAACATTGGTCCATGAATGACGTCACCAATGGCATGAATGTTAGGTACAATAGTTTGAAGCATGGCATTAACTGGAATTCTGCCACGATCATCAGTTGCGATTCCAACATTTTCAAGTCCCAAGCCTTCAGTGTAAGGTCTACGTCCAATACAAACGAGTAAACAATCACATTCAATGTCTTCCTTAGTTCCATCCTTAACAGATTCTACAGATACTGTAACACTATCTCCATGTCTTGTAGCTCCCATTACTTTAGTTCCAAGCTTAAATTGCATTCCTTGTTTAGTGAGAATTTTCTGGAACGATTTAGAAACTTCGCCATCAATTCCAAGACCACCAATGGATGTAAGGAATTCAACGGCAATAACTTCTGAGCCAAGACGAGACCAAACTGAGCCCAATTCTAATCCAATAACACCGGCACCAATAATAACCATTTTTTTAGGAACTTGCTTTAATGTTAAAGCACCAGTACTTGACACAATCACTTCCTCATCAATTGGGATTCCTGGGAATGGTGTGACTTCAGATCCAGTAGCAACAATCATGTATTTTGTATTAACAGTTTCAACAGATCCATCACTCATTTTAGCTTGAATTTGGTTTGGACCTGTGATAGTTCCCCATCCATTCAAGTGAGTCACTTTGTTCTTTTTAAATAGCTGTGCAATGCCACCTGTTAATGCTTTGACTGCATTTGTTTTCTGTCCCATGAGTACATCAAGATCCAATTTAACATTCTCGCAGATAATACCACGGCTATTGAGGTCTCCTGAATGAGCCATATGATAATAATGAGAATTATTAAGGAGAGCCTTTGATGGAATGCATCCAACATTTAAGCAAGTGCCACCGAGTGTATCATTCTTCTCAATACAGACTGTCTTGAGACCAACTTGTGCTGCCTTGATTGATGCAACGTAGCCACCTAGGAAATAAAATAAAATGATTATGATTAGTTTGCAATTAGCAACATCCAGAATAGAAATTCTTATCAGTTTAATTATATTACCTGGACCGCCCCCAATTACAACAATATCAGCATCATGTGTGGTTGAATAATTTCGGCTGTACAAGACACCAGCTGATCGAATGGCATTGTAATTTGTCTAAAAATAAGTCAATAGCAAATACCATTAGTGTCTAATCACTAAAATTTTCATTTTTTCCTTCGTAAACTCATGAAAAATTGCATAACACGTTGAATGCGAATAATGAGTATGATTTTCACTGTTTTCCTACCTTTGATAATAAAGTAACGGCTTGTCTCAAGTTTGCCTGCATTTTTAACAAATTTAATGCACAGATTTTGTTTATTTTATATCAAATTTTATTATCAAAAAAATGTTCTTTTCGCCGAGTTAAACTGAACGGGGACTTGATACTAGTTGACTACGCAATAATTTCGAAATAATAAAATACGTTATTCGATGCTTACTCTCTTTTCGTGATCATCCGCAGTATAAGTGCTTAATAAACAATAAGAAGTTGGCGAGACTAGTTTAATGAACATGATTAGAGTGCATTTTTATAACGGTTTTCAAAATTTCAAATATTTACAATTCAGTGTCAATTATGTTGCAAATTTAAAACTCAATGTTTGTTGCTTTATTTGCCTGATTAAATGCTGTAAATGATATATTCTACAAACTTAAATCCTGCAATTCTAATCGTCTTTAATCCTCTGTTGAAAATCAAGCAGTTTACAAATCGAAAATTCAACAATTTTCAAAAAATCAAATAAATTCAAGTCTGTGGTTTTTCATGGACAAAGTGATTAAATGTCAACAAACAATTTTGAATTTAAAATTGCACAAAAGTTAAATAGCGTTTTTGATAAGGCTGTGATGAGTTTAATAGCAAAATAGTCATGCAGTACGCTTTGATAAGACCTATAGAATAGCCATAAAATATCGGTAGACATTGTAAGCTCAGTGTAAAAGTTTAATTCAAGTATTTTTGTATTTTCAAGGTCTCTGACCTTCAAAAATCGTCATAAAAACATTCTCTGTGATCAGCTCAGAATAAAGAAAGATGTAAATAAATTAAGACTTAGTAAAGTGCATACAATTGAAGATTTTTTGCGTGTGAATCATTTCATTCAATGGCCAGCTGTATAATATGCTGATAAGTCGCTTGAGTGATTCAGAGTGCAGATAATTATTAATTTAAGTATTTAATAAGCATTTAAACAAAAATTAATTGAAGCTGTAAATGCAAACAAAGGAAATATAATAAATAGTGGGGAAAAAAATAGTTTAATTACACAGCATTTTTTGAGAGTCATGGAAAGATCATTTGATAATGACAATCAAGAGGATGAACAAGAAGAAGAAGTAGAAGTTCAAAGTCAGGGACGAGATACTGATGAATCTGGAAAATACTTTTTGGAACTAGGACTTTTATTCCTATTCATTGGAAACAATCTCGTCCAAACATTGCTTCAAAATCAAATAATTAAGCAGTCATGCACCTACTTAGGATATAATCAATCAATTTGTGATATCATTAATTTGAATGAGAACAGCACGAAAGATATAGAAGAGAAAATACAGCCTTATGTGGCTAATATCGATATGATTACTACATTATTTCATACAATAACTCCAGCAATATTATCGCTGTTTCTGGGAAATTGGTCTGATCTTTATGGACGCAAAAAGATTCTTTGTTCTACATTCCTCGGATACACATTAACATTGACATTATTTGCTGCTGTATGCTTTTATTCTGAAAATATTCAATCATTGTCTCCGTGGTTTTACGTATATTGTTATATCCCAGCAACTGTGGCTGGAGGATGGCCAAGTCTTTTGACAGCAGCATTGTGCTACATAACAGATACAGTTCATCTATCTGCAAGATCCAGACGATTAACAATAATTGAGTTAATCATATTCCTTGGTGTCTTAATTGGAACTTTCTTCTGTTCGTCAATTTTAGCACTAACGGATGCACCGACTGTCTTTATTATAGCATCCGTTCTTGCCATGTTTGGATTCCTCGTAATTACATTCTTTGTAGATGAATCAATTCCTTCAAATGACGTTTCTACGATCGAGAAAGCCAAAAATCTGTTCTCACCAGTGATTATTGTTAATTTGTTCAAGACATGCTTCAAACGACGAGCTTTTAAAGGACGAAGGATCTTATTGCTATTGATTTTGATTCTTGCATTGATAGTTTTCACATTTAATGGAAATAGTACAGTTGGATACTTATTTGTAAGGGAAAAGTTCTCGTGGAATTTAAAGCAGAACAATCAATTTGAATCATACAGCATTGTATGTTCCTTACTTGGATCAGTTTTTGGATTTGCGATCCTCAAGAAAGTTTTTAAATTCAGTGATATAAGTTTGACGTGCCTTGCCTTATTTTGCTACAGCCTTGACTCATTTTTGAAAGCTTTTGCTACAGAAACTTGGGAAATGTATGCAATTACATCAGTTACACTATTCAAGATATTAGGAAGTCCAATGATAAGAACACTGATGTCAACTATCATTCCACATGATGAAATCGGAAAAATATTCAGTATAACTACGAGTTTTGAAGCATTATCAACATTTGCAGCATCTCCACTTTATGCGTTTGTCTATAAATCTACGTTAACTACTTTTGCTGGCTGTTTCTTCCTTATCACAGCTGGTGTCAATATTGTGAACTTGTTCATTGCCTTTTATATAGCATACTTGAAGAAAATCAGAGAAAGTTTAATTAATCCTTATGAACAAATTGAAAATAACTGACCCCAAAGATATAACAGACCCAAAATATTATGCTGTTAATCCAGTTTGTAGTCCGTTAAGATTTAAATTCAAATTTTTTGATGTGAGAACCTTACAAATCCTACTTTAAAACCATTCAAATTTGGATAATTTATGACTGTTATTTTAGAACCTTACAAAAGTTTAAAATTAAAACCATACAATTCTTTTTCATTTGAATAATTATTGATCGTTATTCTTTAATTCAATTCAAATTTGAGAAGTTTGTTAAACTTTTAAACGTCAAGTACAGTAGAATGTAGACATTTTATACGATTCAATTCATGCACAGTTTAATAAAAGAATATTTTACATAATCCAACTTACTATAAATGTTTATTAATGTTTTCTCTACAGATAATTTCTTCATTCTTTAGCTTTAATGAAGCATTTGTCTCTTAAACTAATTACAAGACCTGGATCAAGTCCATAGAATATTTGACGTGGATCTTTTGTCTCATTAAGCATTTCATAACTTGGATCACTTTCAATTTTCGGCAATTCATATCCATACTTTTGAGCCAAGACTAATCTTTCCTTAGAAACTGCTTCTGGATCAGCAAGATATCCTCTATTTTTAGGATTTGTGTAATATTCAATTGCATCTTGTGGTGGAATCATTCGACGAGGAATCGGAACTCCTTTCTCGAAAAACTTTTTCGGATCTTTTAAGGCATGAAGAGAATGTTGATCATAATAAGCTGTTCTTATCACACCACCATTCTTCTCAATAGCTGCAATAACTAATTCACTGGCGTGCTGAACTTCAATATTCACTTTAGATTTAAAGCAATCAGCACCTTCGTCAGTCAATTGAAAACCGAAATGCTTTTGATCAGGACATAAGTTGATTAATCCAGTAGAACAGAGACTTGCAACATCAATTGGACGGGAAGTGTCAATTCTATTAGTCTCAATCAATAATTGCAGCATTTTTAAGGTGACTGGTGGATATTGTCTCTTTAAATGGTGTCCTTGATAGTATGGTTCATATTTGAATCGTAAATAGAATGGAGAATTAGAGCATTCATATCCTAATCGAAGAACTGTCCATCTTTTTTGACCATTTCCGTGCCAGTCACCGCCTGAATTTTTTTTAAAGACATTAATTCTTTGCTGGATCTAGTTGTTCTTTAAGTAATACTTACCATGTTGTCCTCTTCCTCGTTTGCTGGGCTTTTTAGCTTTTGGATTATCTTTAATATTAGCTAAACAAACTCTTGGTAATGACCGAAGCATTTGAAGAGCTTTTTCAGTCGTATGCTTAACTGATGCCATTGTGCTCGTTGTGCTTTCGATTCTTCACTACTATTTGCTGTGTATCAACTGAAATTAACAATGAATTAAACTGTATTAACAGTGGAAAACTTAATTTTATTGAATTTTACTCACATTTCACTATACGCGTCAGCTGGTTTAAAATTCAGCCGACGCATAGCTGCACATGAAAACAATTTGTAATCGGGTTCGCATTAAAAAATTAATTACATCAAAAGTAGAAGTTTATCATAGTTAAAACAATTAATAGTGAGTAGCTATGAATCAGGCAGAAGTAACAAAGTTAATGTCACAGCTGAAAATAGCTCTAAAGCCTCGTCATCGTAATTTAAAAACTCCATTGGGACCAGAAGGAAGATTAGACAAATTGAGACAAACTGTAACTGCTTTAATTAAGTATGAACGCATTGAATTATTCTACAATAGAGCTGATGAAGCTCGTGGATATACTGAGAGAGTAAGTTTAACATCCCATGAATTAATAAAGTGAAAAAAGTTGTTTTAACAAAAATTTATATTACTTACAGCTCGTTTCTGATGCATTAAGGTATGGTGACACTCACAAACCAATGATGGAAATGGCAGATTATTGGCTTCTTGAAAAGCAGCTTGTGCATAAATTATTTAAAGTTTTGTGTCCAAGATTTGAAAATGAAAATGGTTCAGTGACGAAAATGTTTAATGCTCCACGAGTATATCCAGCAGATCCTAAAAGAGCCTACTTTAAGCGTGTTGTACTTGAATTAAAGGGAAATCCATATCCAACGATTACACCAGACTCGTCCTATAGAAATAAAAATTTAATTCACAATGTTCTTCTGGATGCAGCAATGAAAGATTTTTATGCTGAAAAGGAAAGACAACAACAATTATTAGAACAAGAGCAAACATTAAATAGTGTAGAGGAATCAAAGAAATAGATTGTATTATAATTAGGAACTTAATAGAATTGATTAATAAACAAACTCGTAAGAAATTAATGCTTGATATTTAATGATATTGTCTTCTTTTACAGAACTAGGTTCAAGAAGCAGAAATAGCGGAATTAATGACTTTTTGTTAATTTAAAAACAAACGTCTTTTTAGAATTCAAAATCTGATCCATTGTCAATTATTTTGATTCTTTTTATGGACTGTTTTGTTTATTTCGCAATTTATTTATATTTTACCTTAATAACACACATGTTTATTAATATACATCGAGTTATTGACCAATATAGAACAAAATTTATGAATTTAAAATCTCTAAGTGTTGTAATTAATGATTAATAGCTATTAATTTGAAAACAGTTGTAATAAATTTTGAACCATTCAAAAAACCGTTTCAGTAGTTTTGAAATTTTTGAATCGGTTTTGTTTACATTTTTCACGCTGAAATTGTCAGAAATTCTGTAAAATAGTTTAATTAAAAATGGTGCTTCTTCCTGATCCTGACAAGCTCAAAAAGTTTAAGCAAGAAGCTGAGAATGCTGATCCAAAGAAAACAATCTTCTTTGAGCACACAGAACTTGACAAAATAGCTAGATATTTTATTGGAAATAATCAAAGGTAACTTTTCGTCAAAAACATTAGTAATCATTAATTATAGTATTATATTCTAGGTTTCGAGAGAACATAGTGATTCCACGAACTCAAGGACCAGTTAATATAAGAACAAATGAAGAGAAAACACTTGACAAAATTATGGAATCTTGCGCCTTTAAATCAATCATGTCTTTAGTCATTGGATATGGTTTAGGAGCTGCAATCGGTCTCTTTAGTGCTTCTGTAAATCCTTCAATTGCTGCAGATCCATCTGCACCTCATTTAGAACGAACACAAACAGTTCGAGAGATTTTAAATGACATGAGAAAGACGACACATTCGTATGGTAAAAATTTTGCAGCTATTGGCTTCGTTTTTGCAGGTGTCGAGTGTCTGATTGAAAGTGAACGAGGAGTAACTGATTGGAAAAATGGAACATATGCTGGTGGTGTGACTGGTGGATTAATTGGCTTGAGAGCTGGTGTCAAAGCTGGAATTTTCGGTGCTGCTGGATTTGCTGCATTTTCGACAGTCATTGACTATTACATGAGACATCGTCATTAAGGATATTCATTAATAATTTAATAGTAAGTAGCTGATATAAAATAAAGTAATGCTGAAAACTGGAGCACTCTTTTGTTTAGAATTCAACAGGTTTCAAATTAATCCCAAGATTAACATTTAATCTGTGGTTTAAGCAGAGAACTTAAAATTAATCCTGGATTAAACCAATGTCAAACTCATGCAGTTTTGGCGTATATTATTTATTTGATAGCTTCTAATCTAATAGAATAAGACATAAATTCATATACGGATATAAAAAATAGTTCAAGGTATTTATTATAAATTATTTAATAATTCAACTGTTCTTGCTCCATAGAGATGATGTCCATAGCAGCAAATTCCAGTTTATCGTGAATATTAAATTTCACAGCTTCCATTCCAAAGAACAGTTTCGATCCGTTTGCTTTAATTATTTTAGAACTCAACAGATCGATTTCAAGGCACAATTTGTACTTATTAATTCCTGCAGGAATGCACTCAAGATCAGTCCAACGAGATGTGCTTAAATCGATTTCTTTGTTCTGCTTTGCAAAACGTGCTAAAATCTTGTCATCGCTAATAATTTTTCCTTTAATTAGAGCATCTGCTTTATATTTCGGCAAGCTCTTGTTTGGAACGATATTCAGACGATAGTCAACATTGTTAATCAAAATTGGTGTTTCTGACATGATTTTCATAAACCATTCTGTTGATGGTATATTAGCCCATTTGCTGATCCAACAACCACCTTCGGAATTGCTAGATAAATGTTTTGGTCGCCATTCAGAATCTTTAAATCCGTCAATCAAATCCAAAATCCTATTTGTAAGCACTTCAACATCATCTTTTGTCAGAACATTATCCATCAAATAAGCAGCTAAAATTATCTCATTCTCAGTGCTTTGTGGATTCAAATTTGATGCAGCTGTCGAAGAATCTTGTAGAATATTATTTGAGAGATTTTCTTGGCCAATTTCTAGATTTTCGTTTTCCAATGATGACAGTATGGAATCGATATCTTCAAAGAACGACTGGTTACTTTGGAACGCAGGGTAATACGGATCGTTAAGGTTTGTAAATGAATCCATGAAAGCAGATTCAAATGAGAATCCTAGATTAAAGCTAGGAATTTCATCATTGCCTGTAAAAGAAAAATAATTAAGGAATAAGAAGATTCTAGTTATAGACGTCATAAAAAAATTACAATTTAAGCTTATATAATCGTTTTGATCAGAAAACTTGTCGATTTCGTGACATCTCTTCATTCTTTATGTTCCTTATTGATATTTTTATGTATCAAAATGATTTTAAATTCTTATGAAATTTTCAATTTTCACTCTTGTTTTTTCACTCAATGGCTGGCGATGATTCACACTTCTTCTGAGAATGTAGTAACTTGTTATCGTGTTATACAAAATTTTGAAATTAAAGAAACGTTACTTTTACTTTTACAAATTAAGGTATAAATTTTAAAAGACGGCAAATTTAACTTTTAAAAACGAAAACAAAAAATAAAAACTCTTTTTATTCAATATTTGATTAATTAATGGAAATTCGGAAATTGGAATATGGTTAAAATGCAATCCACCGCTAATTTAAATATAATTGTTCTAATTTATTTCATGAGAGCATGGACAACTGCTCGTGCATTTAAAGCTTTCAAATCGGTGTATGTCTGTCCAGTTCCGACAAAAACAATCGGTTGACCTGTGATGTAAGTCATAGAAATAGCTGCACCAACCTAGAATTGAGGATAATTTTAAAAAATTAAATTTGAAGCGTATTTTTTGTTTTTGAAAAATTAACGGTTTTCAAAAAATTTGAATTGTTATCGATTTACAAAAATCAAAATTTGTGAAAACCGATTATATTCAAATTTTTGAAACCTTTAAAATTCAAATTTTTGAAACCTTTAAAATTCAAATTTTTGAAAACGGTTAAAACTTCAACTTACTTTATCATCAATAGTGTCGAATTTGGTCAAGACGATGCCATCAATAACGTGAGGATTATCCATAGAAGAGTAATCAGCAAGTGCTTGATTGAATTTAACAAGCTGATCAACAGCTTCATTTCCAACAAGAGCTTCACCAACAAACAAGACCAAATCGGGTTCATTAATTTTAATTAATTTGGCAAGGGCACGCATTAATGGCTCATTGTCCTGCATACGACCAGCAGTATCGACTAAGACAATATCAATTCCAGAATCTTTTGCAAAACGAATTGCTTCCATTGCAATTCCAGCTGCATCTTTTCCGTATCCTTTTTCATACAATTGAACCATTTCACGTCCATTATGCTTCTCTTTTGGATGTAGAGAGTTCAAGTGACGACAATGTGTACGAAGTTGTTCGACAGCTCCAGCACGGAAAGTATCACATGCGGCAATCAAGACATTTAAGTTATTTTCAATAAGCCAAAAACAAATCTTTGCCAAATTCGTGGACTTTCCAACACCATTAACGCCACAGAAAGTCATGACATAAGGACGACGATTTTTCTTAGCTTCAAGACAATCACGAAGGATATCAATACGACGTTTCGGTGATAAAATTTGAACAAGTGAGTCATTAAGAGTCGTTTTGACAGTTGTAGCGATTGTATCGAATGTTCCTAGAACTTTTCCTTCCAATTTGGAAGCAACTGATTCACAAAGCTTTTGAGCAATGTCAGTCGCAACGTTTTTAGTGATCAAATGATCACGTAACTTATCTAAAGCTGGCTGCATGTCATCAGTAGAAATAGATTTTGATCCGACTAATCCCTTAAACATTGACAACATTCCACCAGTCTTTTTAGCTGCTACTTTTGGTTTTGCGTAGTTCTGATTGGTGTCTTCCTCATATTCATCAGATTCGTCTTCAGAAGATTCATCCTCAACTTCAATGTCCTTAATATTTCCAATTAATTGACCAACCATACGATCTGAGTCAGTATAATCACTCTTAATGTCTTCAGGACGATCCTTACAACGATCAAGAGTTACAGCATCCTTTTCCTTAAAGTTTCCATTCAATTCCCAGACACGATTAGCTTTTGTATTTTTCTTTTCGATTGGTGATTTAGGCGATTTCTTCTTATCAGCTGGTGTTTTCTTTGTAAACTTATCAGCTAGCTTTTTACGCGCCATTAATATTTCAGTGTCTGTATTTCCATTAATTTCATCATCTTCCTTCACATTTTCCTTTTCAGCTTCAACAATTTTAACAGTTTTCTTTGGAACAGAATCACCACCTTTTCGTTCAATCATGGACGCAACTGTCTTTTTTGACTTGTTCGATTCCTCATAACTTCTCATTTGGCGTGGCATTGCTGATTGCATTTTTCCCCAACTTTCAGCATCTTTTAAAAGTCGTTGGAACTCATCGCCAAACTCAAAATTATTAAATTCACGACCTTGTGCTGTCAGGACATTCTTATATTTGTCACGGAACTCAAGATGGATATCTGATAGAAATTTATCAATGTATGCAAGCTGTAAAATCTTTTGGAATGCTACAACAAAGATCAGCTCAAACTCATTATCCAGCTTATATTGGAGTGTCAGTTTATCATGACTGTATGAGCTATTTCCGCCACGTTCCTGCAAAATAGAGAGCACGTCAAGGTAATTAGATTATGAATTTTGCATGAACAAATGACAAGAAAAACATGAAAAGTGAAAGTCTTACTTGCATCAAAACATTGCGAATTAAAGCATTTACGGATGGTGCGAAGAATTCAGACGTATTACGGAAGCACCATAAAACGATGCCTCCTTTCGTGAAAATTGTAAACAGATCAAGCATCCTTAAAATTAAGTGAATCTACGGAAGAAAGTAATTTTTATTTGTCACTAGCTATTTCGCCAACTCAGCTCGTACAATGAATTATTTGAAACGGTTCTCAATCGGTTTTGGCTGTGAAACAATGAATTTACCGATTCAAATTGCTTCTTATGATCCTGTATGGTACGCATTTACTATAATTCATTAAATTTTCGGTTTTCAAAAATTTGAATTTTTAACGGGTTTCAAAAATTTGAATATCATTTTTTGATTTTTTTATATTTAATTCAATAGTTTTATGAATTTCACATTGACATTGTCTTATTACTAATTATACACTTACACGAGTAGTTTGCAGCTGTTGAAGCACTTATTAATTGGTAAAAGTTGAATTTAAATTTAACGACTTTTTGGAATTCAAAATTTTTGAAACACGTGTCACATTCAAAATTTTTAAAAAAATAGTTAAATTAATGAATTTACGCAAAGCTAGTCACCAAATCATATCAACATCTACACACTCTACATCACAGCATTCAAGACAAAGTGAGCATGTGAGTACAACAGCCAAAATCACGCTAAAAATACACTTATACAAAATAATCGGTTCAAGCAAACAAAACAAAAAAATTTTTGAAAAAAATTTAAAAAGAAAATCTTAAAAATAATGAATATACATTATTTAATTCCTTCTGCAATTTCGCAGGCATATACAACGCCAATAAACATTGAAGTGAAACAGGAAGCACTGGTTACACACTCACTTTTTAATTGCGCATACTGTAACGAGACGTTTAGCAGTCGAAAAGAGTTAAAGGAACATAAAGATAAAAAGCATCCTCAAATAAAAACTGAACATCAGCGAACGCGAAAGCCTAAAAGTCAACAATCATTGATTGGCAATACTTATGTTCCAATACAGGCAAAGTTTACATGCGAATATTGCTATAAAGGATTCGATCAATCACATCGCTTAAAGCAACATCAAATATCTCATCGAGAGCCAGTATATGCGTGTGATCAGGTGAGCCTTTTGTTCACTCAATTTTGTCTAATAACAAGCATTAAATTGTCATATTTCGTAGTGTGAGAAAAAATTTAAATGCCAATATCGACTCAAATATCACAAACAGGAGCATATGCCTGGCGCGAGTCAAACATGCGGTGTATGTCTTAAAATCTTCCCCACAATGATTCGTCTTCAACAGCATCAAATAATGCACAATGACAAAATTTATCAATGCAAGGAGTGCGACAAGGGATTCAAGTGCAAATATCGTCTAAAGTATCACGAATTAAATCATTATCATAAAGCTTACGAATGTCCTATATGCTCAAAGCGTTTTGCAGTAAGTTAAGCTTGTCTTTATTGCTAGATTAGCTTTAATTGCTATAACTTCCTATTTTAGTTGCCGTCACGTTTAGCACAACATTTGAGTATTCATGACGATAATACACCGATTTATCAATGCGATGTATGTTTAAAGACATTTAAGAATAAGTATCGCTTGAAATATCATCGCAATGAGCATGACAAGTCTCCCAAATAAGGAATCTCCTCTCTCTTCCGTTTTAACGATAAAAAAAAACACAGAATTAATTATCTTAAGGATATTAAAAGAAATCTTCTACATTTAATTAATAATTAAGTGTTTATGAGTGCCATTATTAATACATATTAAAATAATAAGTAGCTGGACTTGGCACACGATGAATAAGGATCTAAAAAAGTTTTACTTTATTATTTTTATCGGACAAAAATTAAGATTTTTTTTTCACTCTCTTAGTTTTTTAAAGAATCAAATCTCAAATCAAACATATTGTCAATAAAATTGCGGTATAACTAGGTATTAATCAGAGCTGATGAGTTTTAATATTTGTGTCTGAGCACGTGGGGGATATTTTGAAATTTTAACGTCTCTCAGAAATTCAAAATTTAACGGTTTTCAAAAATTCAAAATACTTTTTGACACACGAATTCAAATTTTTGAAAACTGGTAATTATTTGTCAACCTTAAGTTCAATTAAGGTCTATTTCTGTCATCTTTAAAGCGTAATTTTAATCGAAAATCAAAGTATGCAACTTTATCATAAACACCACTGGATCTTCGAAAGATTCTTAAAATAATCACAAAATTCTGAAAATAGCAAACAGGATCACAATTAGCACATAGAATTCTTGATTTTTCATCTTCAAGTGATAAAAAATGCTGTGTTTATGTTGATATCATTAATAATTTTATTTGAATCCTTTCGTCTACTTCGAACATTTTAAATTTACTCTTCTGTCTTGAATTTTCCATTGTAGATTGGCAAAAATTGGAGGAAAAGTTTCCAGTCTGTGAAGTACAGAAGAGTCAAGCCTCCAGCGGTTCCAAATGTTGCCAAACTACCAACCCTAGAAATTTATAAAATTATATTAATGATTATCTAACAATATTGACACTTGATTTCCTTTTTGATGTTTATTGTGTTTTCTTGATAATAACTTACCATTTTGTGGCGAGTTCTACGTGTCTCTTGCCTACTGGAATTCTATTCATCTTGAAATATATCCGAATACTTTAATTAAGCTTCTCAAAATGAAGAATTATAATTTTTGGCAAAATTTTGTGCCTTTCTGATACCTGGTAAGTGATGTTCCTCAAAAGTTTCTATATTTACATTGTTTTACATTAAATGTGACTGAAACAGCTTAAGAGAATTAGTGTTTAATGTAAATAACGTATATTGGTGCACTTGAGTTAAGTTTTAAGCTACTAATTCAGTTGAATTTGATGAATTAAACTTTTTTGAATACAAATTCCATGCGAAAATAAGAGTTTTTCAAAATTTATAAAGCCGTTATGCTCTTTACCTTTATAACTTCAACAACTTGAATAATCGAGCAGGTTGCACGCAAAAAAAGTCAACAAACATTCTCAAAAGTATTTAATTAGTTTATCTCAAGTTCTACAGCACTTACAGGTAAATAAACTGCATACTTATAATCTGAGTGTCCTTCTTAATAACACTTCAAACGATTTATCTAGTCAAACAGCCTATTTATCCAATAAATCTATTTTTCATATAGTTCACTCAACATTTAATTTATTTAATTGCTCTATAATGGCTGGGAATTTTTGGAAGAGCTCACACTTTCAACAATGGATATTAGACAAGCAGGATTTGGTCCGCGAACGACAAGAAGATCTCAAACATTTGACAGAAGAAGAATATATGAAAGTACAAATTTTCTTTTCAAATTTCATTCAAGTCCTCGGTGAGCAGCATAAGCTCAGACAACAAGTTATAGCGACAGCTACTGTATATTTTAAGAGATTCTATGCAAGAAACTCATTAAAAAGTATTGATCCGTTCTTATTAGCACCAACCTGTATCTTTTTGGCATCAAAAGTCGAAGAATTTGGAGTAATATCAGCCAACAGACTTGCTGCTTCCTGCACAAATGTGGTGAAGAATAAATTTAGCTATGCATACCCTCAAGACTATCCGTACCACTCAAAACACATCCTTGAATGTGAATTTTATTTGCTTGAGAATCTCGATTGCTGTCTTATTGTATTTCAACCATATCGTCCATTGTTGCTGCTTATTCAGGATATTGGACAGGAAGAACAATTGCAGGCTTTATCGTGGAGAATAATAAATGACTCACTGAGAACTGATTTGAGTCTTTTGTATGCACCACATCAGGTAATGAAATAATGATGATTAATATCTATTTACTTGTGACCGGAAGGTCGTTCGTATTTGTACAATGACTAGACAACTGATAAGTTTGTTGTTTTGTCGAATATGAAGAGTTTGGATTTGGTTTGGATTTTAAATCCTAAGATTAATTTTAAACCCTTTGGATTTAACTGTAAGATTTATTTTAATCTTGAGATTTAAATCTAATCAAATAATTTGATCATCAGATTACGATTCAGTTGTAGGACGTCTGTAACGAACCTTCAGAAGAACTTTATTACAATTTTATTGCACATTTTAATTGTATTTATTCTTTAATTAAACAGATCGCAATTGGTGCACTACAAATTGCATGCGTAATATTACAAAAGGAACTAAAGTCTTGGTTTGCAGAGCTTAACGTTGACATGGATAAAATACAAGAAATTGCGAGGGCTATTGTCAATCTATTTGAGCTTTGGAAAGGATTTGATGAGAAGAAGGAAATTGCTGGACTTTTAGAGAAACTTCCCAAAGCTAAACCAAATGTGGCACCGAATGCGACAAGATGAATAGTTTTTAGAATTAAAATAAACTTTCTTTGGAATTAATAAAGTATTTTTTTTTTATATTCTACTGAAATGAGTAAGCCTTTTATATTTGGCAATAAATCATCATTGTTATGCTGCATGCCAATCAAGGTAAGAGATATACAAATTGATTGGTGTGAGCGTCATGAAGTTACTTTTACTCTGATTTGTTTTTCCTTATCATTAAAGTCTGATAAGAGGAGCGACAATTTCCACACAATCGTCAACCCTCAGTCAATAAAAGTAGCTCGAACAGTATGAATCTATATAGAGAAAGAAGTTTAATAATTTTTATTATTATAGTTTTCTGTGGAACCTTAATTTCTGCACAAAATTTGACCCCCAAAATCATTGGGGGGTTTAATGTATCAACAATTGATGATTTTAAGCATCAAGTTTCTCTCAGAGATGCTTCACACGAGAGCTCAACTTTTGGATCTGGGCACATTTGTGGTGGAAGTTTAATCAATTATGACACCGTATGTTAATGGAAAATTCTTGCTACAATTAGTAATCGGTGCTTTAAGTGCTGTTTTTAATTTTTTGAAAAATTGCAGTGGATTTCAAAAATTTTTAATTAATCGGTTTTTTAAGATTTGAATGTTCAACGGGTTTCAAAATTTTAAGTTTTGAATAAAATTCAAAAACTGAAAATTTTAAAATTTTGAAACCCGTTAAAATTCAATTTTGTCTAAACCGTTAAATTTATATACACACTTTTTGAAATTTGACCATTTATAGGTCTTAACAGCTGCTCATTGCGTCCACGACGGAGATAGATATTTAAGTCCTGCTTACTACATGGCTGTGATGGGGAATTTAGATTTATTTGTTCGTGATAGCAATACAGTAGTTCGACGAGTCATAAAAGTCATAGGACATAGAAAATACGACCCTGATTCCTTCATTAATGACATTGCATTATTAAAATTAAACGCTCCAGTCCCAAAAGATCATCCAACAGCACAGCCAATTCGTCTTTCAAAAACAGAAGCAAGACCAGGAATTAATTGTCAATCTTCAGGATGGGGATCTATACAATATGAAGAAAATGCAAGGGCTGTAAGAGGATTGATGGCTGTTAACATCACCATAAATTCAAAATATGATTGTAATAGACGAGAAAGTCACGCTGGAAGTGTTATTCGAGGACAATTTTGTGCTGGTCCATTTAGTGGTGGAAAAGATACGTGTCAAGGCGATTCTGGAGGTTAATAATTGATGAATGTATTGAAAATCAGTATTAATAAGCTTTATTATGCAATTATAGGACCGTTCGCATGTAATGGAGTTTTAGTAGGAATTACGTCTCATGGTTATGAATGTGGATTGCCTAATTATCCAGGTATCTACATGGATGTTGGTTATTATAGAGACTGGATTGCTGCAGCAAACAGTGCTATCTCAAGTTTATCGAATTTAATAGTCTTAATTGCAATTTTACTTATTCTGTCAATATTTTAGAATTCAAGCATTTAACGGTTTTTGAAATTTTAAAATTTTATCGGTTATATGAAATTTTTAAGAATAACCGATTCGAATACAAACAAAACAACTTTTATTTAAAAAAGAAATAAAAATCTTTAATTTAACTTATTTTTAATAAAATGCAACAAGAAGAACTTAAACTACAAAGTGATAAGCTTTGGGTTGGAAATTTAGACTTAAGAATTACCGAGTAAGTAATTTAGAAGCTGCTTATTTTTATTAAAATTGTATCTAATTTTTTAAAAACTTATTTTTTCCAATTTATTGGTTTAAATTATTGCAAATACTGCAAAAATATGGGGAAATTGAACATTTTAATTTCGTGTATCATACAAACGGTCCTAATATTGGACAACCCAAAGGCTTTGCATTCATAAAGTACAAAGAGGTAAGATCAGAAAGCTAGAAAAAATTAAAAAGGTACAGAAGTAATCATATCCAATAATATCCACAGGCTGAAGATACAATAAATGTCTTGACTAAACTAAACAATAAGAAAATTGGAAGTAAGAATGTGGCAGTACGTTATGCTAAACACGTCGAATACGACGATGACAAGTCATCAAAGAATCTTAAAATTTCAGCACTTGGTGCTGGATCATCTCATGGGAGTTTAGCAGACAAGAAAAGTAAAATACAGCTCATCGAGGAGCAATTGAGACGCTATCAAAACTCATCAGATGATTTTGAACTGAATAGAAATGCCCAAAAATCCGCAACAACCGAGCCACTCATAAAAAAGTATCAATTCAATAAGGATGCAGCATCAACCACCTCAAATCGTTATCAGAATTATCATAAAAAGAAGAGAAAACCGTATTAGATTATTTTTGTACCTGCCTAAACTGTATTGAATGTGAAATTTTTCAGAGATTAATAAAATGTAAGATATTTGACAAAACTTGATGAATAATGAAATTTAAATCAATCAAATCGCTTATATATGTGCATAGAATTTGAATCAAATTGACTTCTATTCTATGGAAAATAATACCCACTTACTCACTTTAAATTCCACGATCGTTTTTTTTGCTTACTTTTTTTCCTATCAATAAGAGGAAGGGTTGCGTCATTGAATTGAGGATGGAATTGATTGAAAGGCAGAAAAGTAAATAACTTCAAAATTTGCTTAAATTGAATTGTCATCTTTTTAACTTTCATGACGTAATGGTTCATGTAGAAAGGTCTTATTGTAAATGTAATAAATTATTTAAATGTCTGCAACTTTTGTTTGACAAGGCAGATGAATGGTGAATTCAAAAAAAAATTAAATTTAATCAATACTTACGTACTTCCTTCTGTACATACGTACAGATCAATTGTGATCCATGACCTCCCTTAGCCGTCCCCTAAAATCAGCTCTATCTCTGGCTACCGTCTGCCAATTGCCGATTCCAAACGCAACACTGTCTCTATCAACAGCTTTCTTCCACGAGTTTTTTGGTCTTCCACGTGATCTCTTTCCAAATTTAATCAATACCTAGAAGAAATCCACAAAATCCACCCTAAAAGCTGCAAAACATGTCAATAGAGCTCAAAGAAAATATCTCAACTAAGTCAACATTTTTACTTACTTTAAAACTATAGAAGTGGTCGCAAAATCGATTGCAGGATTTGAACGTGACCAACAGAGCAACTCAATAAAAAGCGTGTAAAAAGTAAATCAGCACATAAATTTCAAAGCAACCATAAACTAGTCATCCAAAAGGACTTAACAGACCAAATAATCTGGAATAAAATGACATTTTAATTCAAAACAGAAAAAAAATAATCAATTCAATTCAAGTTTGATTAAAAACTCAATTTTTCAATTTCACAAAAGATTTACGCTATGACTTTGTACAGCAAAATAAAATAGGGAGGAAAAAATTTAATCAACTAAATGCTTCATGGATAAAGCGGAAGTTGAATCGATGCTTATTGTATTTGCAGCAAGCTCTGCGAACATCCTTGTTTAATGATTTCGAACCACATGAATAAACGTTAATCGGTTTACTGAAAATGAACATGTAAAAAAAGTACAAAGCATAATTGTCTGAGGCTACAACAAAATACATACTTGCCATAAAGTGAGGTATAGTAGTTGAACAAAAAATTCCAATTCGGCGAGTCAACATAAATTCGTGACATAATAAATTCAACATCATTTCCAAAAAGCTCTTCCGGCGAACAATAGTTTCCATCGTCATCACAGAAATAGTTATCCATAAACATACTTTGTCTCTTGGAGCTTATTAGATAGAATCTCACTTCGAATTTGTCAGGTTTATTTTCATCCCAAAACTACAAAAGAAAGTGAAATTAACATTTATCACGCTAATCCTTTTAATCATTCCTTAAATTTTAATGAGGTGGAAAATCAGAAAAGCTCGAATGTTAATAAGCACTGGATTAATTAATGAGAATAGAGATCGTTCAGTGTTATGACATTCATACGAAAATCGAGGCTTTAGACCTCCTCCCTTTTATAAATGATAGACATCATAAGTGAATGATCCCATAGAATTCCCAAGTTATATCTTAAATAAGGTTAATCTTCATCTTCTTCATTATGTGGAAATGGAAATGAAAAACTTTAAATATTAAATTTTCATTTGACTTTAAAGCTCAAAATTGTCATTCCACAGAGAGAAAACTATAAAACGAACGAAATCATCTCCTCATTTCCATTCCCATCACAAGAAGATATGTCTATTTTGTTAAAATGTAATCCAATTCTTACAGACCATTTGAGTTAACTCGCATAAAGTGCTCAAGAATAAAGTGAATTGCTTAATGTCGCGAGCTATCCAAACTAAATGAATTCGCTTCAGGGCTATCGTTGGCTGCGTTGATTTCCTTTACATTCATTTTAACCACAATGTGATGTTTTTTATGAAAGGCATGTGAAAAGGGATGAATAAAAAAAAAGAAATGGGAATTTTTGATTAAAAAATGGCATGATTGTGTTGTGTTGTAGATATTGTGAACTATTAGGCTTGATCTAGCAAGTCTTAATAGAGGTTTTGCACGTTAAAAGTTGTTGTCGGTTACAAGTTTACAAAAAGAACTTACAGACTGTTTCACTAAAGTGGATTATCCTCGATTTCGGATTATCCACTTCAGTTTTTCGGAAATATCTCCAGACGCTTAAGGGTATTAAGAGATCTGAAGTGTGATCTCCTTAAAGTACTTTGCTCCTTAAATTAACATATACTAAGAATTTTTATATCTTCACTAGTTTGAGAATTATAGCAAAAATCGAAGGTTATCTACTAGATTTGGCTAGAAAATTGAATAATTAATACTTCTTAATGAAAAGTAAAAGTTTAAAGTGTACAGAAATTTCAGGCATACTTCACTCTTTTATGATCCAAAATTAGAAATACCATAAAGATTATTTGTACATAAAGCATCTGTCTACATAAAGATTCGATGTAGATGTCTACAATTCTACATTCTTCTCTGGTGTAGACCTGGAAAAATGTAGAATTGTAGACATCTACATCGAATCTTTATGCAGACAGAATCTTTATGTACAAATAATCTTTGTGTAGATTAGATTTTCTATATTCATATAGAATCGATCTTTATGTAGAAAGTTTCTTAGCTAGACAAAAACTATTGAAGAATCTACATTCTTCATCTAGTGTAGACATCTACATTTGCAACACTGCTTTGAAAAGTAGAAGTAGAAAAAGCTTCAAATGCTGTGTTGACATTGAAAGGTGATTTTTATATAGAATTGCGTGAGTTATGAAGCACTTAAGCTTCTGTGTAGTTTTCAGGAAGTTGTCAGGCTCAAATTTAATATAGTAACCATTAGTAACTTGAAAGTCGTAGGTTCTAATCCTTAAAATTGAGAATATAGTAACGGTTACTTAATATTCAAATTATGTATGCAAGTATAATTAGTTTGTTTCCCCTTATATAGTTGTTAACCCCTTCGTATGAATATTAAGTCTATTTCTGATTTTTGAGCAATAAAGATCATTTTGAATATGGGCCTCGTCACAAAAAAAATGTATGTGAGTGACGCTTTGTTATTCTTGATTATTTCCTTATCCTTAAAAGTGACAAATTTAAGAGTTATTTTTTTGAAAAGAGAATTAAAATCCCCATCTTTTAACATACAACTCACTTTCTAAAGTTAAGCAGTTGCTTAAAATAATCACTTTAACTAAGCGTCACTCACGTACAATTTTTGGGAATTTTGCTATATCTTCATTATTGTTTATTGATATATCTCCAAATGTATTTTTTTAGGTCCGAAATTCAATTCTGTTCTTTTTGAGTTTATAAAAAATTTAAAATTGCTGCCTTAACATACCCAAATGGACAAAATTAAGTTAAAAAAGTTTTAACGTTTTCAACTTTTTTAAATTTTTTCGGTTGTAATTTGTTTGTTTACAAACAAAATCGAAAATAAAATTTGAAAAGTCACGAAAATGTCACTCAATAATGATGTTAAAGCTCTTCAAATAGTCAGAACAGCTAATGTATCATCTACTTTTCGTATTCAAATCATAATATTTGGGATTAATGATTGAAAAATTTAGAATTTTGAGAATTTAATTTTTGATGTTTTGTTTGATAGTGTTAGTGAAATATTCAAATTATTTTTTTCCGTTATGCAAAAATCCTTTAAAAAAATGTCGAGGCCCATATATATAGACCTTATTGTATCTGTGATTAAGTTTATTAATAAATAAACATTGTGTTCATCATATACAACACTTACTATGTTTGATCAATACAAAATTGAAGCTCAGTACATTGTTTGGGATAAAAACTTGAAGTCTAGCTTTAAAAAATAAGCACGTGCTAAAAGATTTCTTTTGAAATGGAATATTAATAGACGGTCCTGAAAGACGTCATTTGTAAACAACAACTTAGCTAAAAGATATTCTAACGTGAAGAAACTCCATCCCTAGCTGTTATTATTTTAAAGTTTCATTATTTCAATAATAACAATGAAGAAACAATACCCAAATAATAATACAGCATGCCTTTAATTATAAATATTATACTTACATTACATAGTTGAATATTGAAATGAACGGTGTAATCCCAATTCCTTGTCCAATTAATACAACACGCTCCCTGGATAGTATCGATTCCATATGATTCGAGTATGGACCGTCAAAAATAAAATTTAACTTCCTGGCTGTCGCTCGATATTTACGACGGCTTCTGTTTGACTTTCTCTTGTGTGACTTTTCCGAATACATTTTTAATTCGAAAAGTTTCTCATATAGCTCTGCTGTCCAATCACCACGTACAGTTATAGCTATTGTAAATATAGTTTTTCTCGGCTCGATTACAAAGTCTGTTATAAAAAATGGATGCCATTCAATTGTTGATATGTTTTCACACTGTAGTAATATATATTGTCCGGGTCGAAGAGCTATGTTGTCATTGATTTTAAATGTAAGGAAAATTGAATTTCTCGTGGGTAAAGTCACCTCGACAAGTTTCATGGGAGAAAAGAACCTCTTAAAATACCGAATTAAATGATCCAAGAAGAAGACGACGAGCGAAATTGTTGGCCAAATCCAAAACTATATTCATGCATGTAAAATTGAGAAAATAAGTATAAGCTCATTGAAAGGAATCCAAGTGAATATAAAATTTACATTTTTCCTTCCTGCAGTGAACTTTGGCTCGCTCCTGCAATACTTTTCCACATATTCTTTTGCATGAGTTTCATTATCTCTGCTTTTGTAAATATCACATATGGGTGGTGAATCTTTAACATTATCTTGATACTTTATAACGTCACTGGAAAGAAGTAAAACAGATGAAAATTACTTTTGGTTTTACTCAAAGAAGCGCAAATATTGATTCTCATTTATCATCAAACCCGAAATTTTAGCAATAAAATGAGGTTAGCAAAGAAAATTTAATTATCTTGTAAATAAATTTGCGGGATGCTCACAGGTTAATATTTATGCTGGTTTAAAAAAACTTTTTGATCTTATTTATTAGTGTTTTCTTCTAGAATATTTACTATTGGAATGAGGTTTTGAAAGCTTGTGAAATTAATTTACTTTAGCTGTTCTAATAAATTAAGGAAGAGGAAATAGAATCAGTATAATGTATATATTTTGATTTGAACTTTTCGAATCTTCAGCGTCCAGTCAACTCAAAACAAATTGAAGGCTTCAAATTTTAATGGACGATAATCTTTAATACACCTAACCTTATTAAATTGAGATTGAAGCTGGCAATAAAAGGTTATGTCCCAAGGACTATGGAAAGTTGATGAAAATTCGAACTCGAACTTTGAATTTGTTATTTACGTTATAATTTTTTCATTTTATTGTTTTTTAGAATTTTAAATGCATTTGTAAAGGTTAAAAACTCCTTAAATATATTGTATTTAAGTGGTTTTAGTTTTATGAGGCTGTAAAATGGCAGAGGGCGAAGTCGACTCGAAATTTGTATGAAGTCGAGTGAACTCAAGTCGACTTTTCCATACAAAATCCGAGTCGACTTCGCCCTCTGTAAAATGGTTTTTTTGATTGATTAAAAATTTATCTTCCAATTTTTGTAAACAAACAAGTTTGTTTACAATTTATGACAAAAATTTTCAACTACAATTTTTTCATCTATTTGAAGCATAATTCAAGCTATGACAGTTGCAAATCGATTACTATCACTCAATAATTACAGCAACATGCTTAAACAGAACCAAAAATGACTTTAAATATGAAATTTTGTGAATTTATGAAAAAATTCATTTTTGAACTTTCGGAAACAACATCGAAGAAAATGCGGGAAAATTCAAAATATTTTTAGTTTAACTGACAGCGTGCTATCCATAGTCTTTAGGTTATGTCTTTATAGGCGCCCTATCCATAGTTCTAAGTTTGCAGCTTCAGATTCAGATTTAAAGGTTTAAGAACTATTAAAACATCCACAAGGTAAGTCCCAAAACATCACTCCAAATAATGGATCCCAAGCGGGACACGAACCTGCGTCCTACAATTTCTTGTCAAATACTGCTACCAATGAGCTATCGGGGGTTAGAAGACTATGGTCTAATCCCAATTATAAGTTACACTTATTTCTGATCCGTTGCAGCCATATGATTTATCGTTGACTGACTATTACATAAAATCGCTTATTCCAACAATACAATAAATGCTTAATCAGCCACCTTATGCTTCACAACTAGCCAGACAAAATGTTACTTTACATTAAGCTTTTTTTAAAAATAATAATTTTAAAGCACAGGAAACTAAAATATTGCTGATATAAGAAAATGGTAATAACCCCTCGTAATAATGTAGCCTCTCAACCCCTACAGCTTTTAAACATATAAATACGTACCTTAAAGGATGATAATACAGCATGATGAAGAAAAGAAAGAATATATAGTGAATACCCATGAAGCTGTTGTAGAAATAGTTGCGCATTTGTCGTGATGAAAAAATCCACATAATAATAAGGCATGCGACCATCGTCCATCCAGAAAATCCGACTGGTGTTAGAAACATTAGTCGAAAAACATTCTTACCACATGTGTAATAGAAAATGATTAATGTGAATAAATTTGTTCTTTTCTTGCATAGGATCGTTCATAAATGAAGTCTAATTTTAAAGAGAGTAAGTTGCTCATTTCTAGCCTGACTACGTCGGATTAGGGGTCCGAAAAATCACTTTTCTTAATAGACATCACTTATGAACGACCAATTATGTTTACTTTTTTGAATTTAACTTTGTTTGGACATTCAACTTACATCGTCATGTCCACGACTCCAATTTATATCTCTGTGATGTGCATCGTAATTCTTTATAAAATTGATGGCATTCGTAAAGTGTAATGCTATGTGAATGACTTTTGAGAATGAAATAAGATTACATTATTATTGTTTGCGGTTGAAAATATTTTTTTTTCCAAGACATCCTCGAGCGCATTGTCTGACTCGCATGGAATGTCAAATGAGAAATGGATGTGCTACTCACAGGATATGTATATTAATGAAAGAGCGAAGACCTGATGTACAACCTTTAGTTTCTCCATATATATAGCAGAGAAATAGGGGAAAATTCTATTGAATGTCTTGTGAATGAATGTGTTGAATGTTCTGCACACCGGAAATATAATGGCAATGATGAGGAAATTTATGAATAACACTGTAGCGTTAGATAAGTATAATCCCTTCTGTGAAAGCACAAAATAGGAGCTTTATAAGTAGGTGTGTATTATATAAATGAAAAAAAAATTCTCATTTCATGCTCGCTTGTTACGTTTTTCATCAAATCAGTATTTGTGAATAGCATGCTATATAAAAGCACAACAATTTCGAGCTGCCGTGAGACATCATCAGCATACATTACCTACCCCAATGATTTTTTTCAGGTAATAAAACTTTTCATTTTCGTCATTATACGATATATACGCGTAATATGAGAACGACAGAACAAGAAGAATCCCAATTATGAAAATCATCTAGAAAGATATATGAAATGTAAACAAAAGTCACTCAATCTTATTTTCTACTTGTATCTCTTTTTTCTTTACTTTAATAATCTATAGACGACGTTGTACAATTTTCGGAGATTCTTATTTTTTTTTTTTGGAATTTCTGAGTTTAGAATTTCAAATCAAAAACAACAAATGATTGCTTTAATTATTAATTTCAATCATTGTTTAAGTAAAAGTCTGGATGTCACCAGCATGATACTCATGAGAAGCATAGTTTAAGAACTAATTGGAAACTTGCAATCAGGAATTTTGATATACTTTAAAGCTTTTATACGAATGAATGTCGCTTAGGTGAACAAAACGTGGATCTAAACTTTTATTTCATTGTTTCATTTTTTCAGGATTTATGGATTGTAAAAAACCCTAGCAAATTTAAGAATCAGAAGTCAGGAATTTGAAGAAAGGGTGACAAAAAATTTTTATATGGAAAATTTGGGGGGGGGGGTCAGAATTTTTTCATAGAAACCCTAGCAAAATGAAAAAATTTCTGTTAACGTAAGGGGATTTGTAACCTACCCCCCCCCTCTACTGCTGGTATAAAATATGAAAATAAGCACCAACTTTACTTGATTAATAGTTTCTTAAATATTAGCGATTTAAAACAGCAAGTATCTGCTGTTTATGCAATAATCCTGTCAGTGACATCTTTTAAGCTTGCTGTTACTGTAAACTTTTACAACCAGCATCCTTCAACCCTGAATTCATAATTCCGCATTGATTCTTATTTTTGCGATGTAATACTTACAAGCAGAATATAACGAAGGAAAAACTTTTTCGCTGAATTGCGAATGTTTTCCAATTTTTCTTTATCATCGTCTAAAGTCGCATTCATTTCTATTCTAAAATGAAATAAAAAATTGTGTTATAAAATTGCAAATTCTTCTTCCTACTTTGCGTTCACATTAAAGAAACTTGTGTTAGACATTATGTACATAGCTGATCTCAATCTTTAAACATTACTGTCTTATTTTCTCTTTTATAGAATGTTTACATTTAAAATCATCAATGTGAAAATCACACTCATTCATGAACAACTGTCATTGCCATTGTTTACTTTTTACACAAAATCATTCGTACTAGAAAAAAATCTTTGATGCTGTTTAATTTTCTTTAAATGAACAGAAAACCTAAGCCCGCATGTGTGTTTAGGAACTCTTATATCTATGCTTAGTGGATTCATATCGTTGTTATTTCAACACATTTCAGTTTGATATGAATGGTATAATGGAAATGGCTTGTCATATTTTGATGTATACTCCTCGAAAAAGAGATTGTTATTAGATGTGAAATGTAAGGTTAATAACTTTTTGAGTAAGAACGATGTGTGGGTGTGGAAGGATCATTAGTTGAAAACTCATAAACTTCAAGGATGGAAATTTTTTATGATTGAATGTATCTTAAACTTCCACAAAATAAATGAAAATTTTTTATATTGACAAATTCTATGACTCTTTGGTTAAATCAACATTCTATATTTTGCCAATGAATATTATCTCAAGTTTCGAACAACATAAGAATTTCTTTTTATTAATACCTACAAAGTTTATCTTGCTCATGGGTAAATTATGATTACATTTCGTAAAGAAAATAAGAATTCACTTCAATTTAAAATGCGTATATTTGGATTTAATTTCAGACATTCTAATTCTCATCATATACAATATCCACTAAATATTTTCCATTCACATTTCGAGCTCATGAGTTTATATTTTTTTGTGACCTAGTTAATTATTTGAGTTAATTTAAAATAAATAAATTGTTGGATTTTATGGAAGATTCATTCAGTGTTTAGGCGGGAAATGATTAAAAGGAATTTTGTGTGGGATATTCTGAGACTGAGCTTTAAGATTGTAATAAATCATGAATTTTTAAAAGGATTTAGCTGATTTATTGTCAGAATTCACTTAAACATTAAAGTAGGAATTGATTTTGGTTTTGTAGTTTCAAGAAATCCACAAACATTAATTTGGTTTTGGTTGAAGTTTTTGTTTTAAGTTTAAGTTAAGTGAGTTGTTTCTAGAGCCAATATCAAACGTTAAAGCATCTTCTTTTATATAATAAAATTAAACTAGCCATTAATCTCAGACTTCATAGAATTATCCTTTCCAAAGGTTGGATTACTTGCAAGATTTCTAAGAAAAATCTAAAAAATCTAATAAAAATAAGTCTTCCAAATAGGATAAATGTCAGGTTTTTAAAAAGAAAACTTAATATAGAAATCATTCGGCCTTTTTTTTATCCTTCTAAAAGGTTAACCGGAAATACTTTTCTTCCGATCTTTTGATTTCTGTTTGAAGTAATGTCTAAGTAGGATGTTCTGTAAGATCCCTTCCGACTTCATGGTTAGGATTAAGGAAATGATTATAATTTCAACATATTGAATAAATATCCACACCACATTGATGGATAATAAAAAGATTTAATATTTCTTACATGCTTCTCATGTCTTTGTTAGACTCCAATTGAGAAATGTATTTTTTTTTGTCGATAAATACAATAAAAAGAAAATGTGTATTGTAAATAAAAGGAACGCAAGACAAAAATCTATTTTCATCCCATCAAAATATCATTACATACTTCCATCAGATGTTACTGAGGATTTATCTAAAATATTAAATTTGAATTTCCTGCTTGTCTGTGTGTGACGGATATGATATTGAGTTTTTTTTGAGGATTAATGACAGGTTAAACTTTAAATTTAAAAACTTTTGAATTAAAGAAAACTTTCGGATGTAGTTGGTCACAATTCTATAAGTTAATCGATTAACTGAAGGGGAAATTTGAATTTTTGTTTAAAATTAATCAAATTTTTGAATGAATTTTTTTTGAAAATTTCTTGATTTTGATTTTAAAGCAGTGTTGCATTCTGGCTATTTGTCTGGATCAGATAAATTCTGAGACAGAAATTTCTTCATAAAATCGATTCTACATGTAGAAAGAAAAAAACCATCTACATGTAGATTGTGTCTACATGTAGAATCTGTCTACATGTAGATTTAATGTAGATGTCTACGATTCTACATTCTTCTCTGATGTAGACCTGGAAAAAATGTAGAATTATAGACATCTACATCGAATCTACATGTAGACAGATTCTACATGTAGACACAATCTACATGTAGATGGTTTTTTTCTTTCTACATGTAGAATCGATCTTTATGAAGAAAGTTTCTTAGCTAGACAAAAAATATTGAAGAATCTACATTCTTCATCTAGTGTAGACATCTACATTTGCAACACTGTTTTAAAGTTTAAAATTTTCTTAAAAATCGAACCTTAACAAATTATTCAAAAATTTCATTTAATTGTTAAACTCCAACAAAGATATTTAATTATCTTCTAGATTCTTAATATTAAATAGTTTATTCAACTATCGCATGCACTTAGTCATTGAAAGTTTTATTTCAATTTTAATATAAACTGACACTTCACATTTCCAACAATTATTCAACTGCATTAAATTACCAATTAAAATAAAATTTTATTTCCCCTGCTTTCTTAATTCACTTATAAACTACAGCAATATAAAGCAAGTACAAAATTATCGATAAATCTAATCTAAATCACGGACAATTGTACACTGAATTGCACACAAAAAAAAATCATCACATGAATGTAAAAACCGATGAAAAATTGAATCCATTCACGATCATTTTCATCTTCAATATATTCGCAGAACATCTTTTCGTCATGAGTTACTAGATATCTTTAAATATAATCGAACATGTGCGCTCGCAAAATCAATGAAGTTTAGTTTATGTCAACATTACAATACGTCCATCAATTTTATGAGTGACAGTCGATTTTCTCGCAATATATAATTCCATTATATCTATATCAAGTAAGCCAATACGATGATTCTTCTTCTTTTGTTTTATCATTGTGAAACCATCTCCACCATTTGCTATAAATGATGGTACGATGAGAGTATAAAATTTTGAGGGTATAACACTTTCATATTCTGCATCACTGATTTTAATTTGTAAGGATTGTACACGATTACCAACAGTCATTGTAGTGTTGAATGTTACATAAAATCCTGATATTTGTAGCATGTGAATGCCAATGAATTCATTTGTAACAAATGACCTTGACACGCTGTGTTCAAAAGCTTCATAAATTGTATCGCCAGTTAAATCGAGTATGTCTAAAGTATTTTCGAATGGCATAAATGCAACAATATCTGCATATTTAATGTTTCCAATTCGAAAACTATTTCGCATTCCAGCTGCTTGAATAATGGCTGCATATGCTTTATAATCTGGAAATTCGATTTGAGTTTCATGGACGAATGCATCTGCTGCAAAACTTCCCAATGCACATTCACCATGTCGACATATTCTATGCATTAAACTCACATTTGTAGCTCCAACTATGCGTTGACCTCTTCGATTAACTTCATCACGCCATGGCATCAATTCACGTTCAATATCAGGATCTTTTTCGATTTCATTACTAAGGAAAATTGGATTGCCATCATAATATTTTATATCTCCAGCTTCATTGAAATAAACTTTTAAATCACCAACATATTTAGTAAATGCAGCTGCATGCACGATAAGAACTTTCCTATCGAGACCAGATTTTGGTGTAACAATAATTGGATATGGTCCTGTAGGTATGTCAGATGCAGGATACAAGTTGTTCTTTGCTGTATACAGAAACGTATGCGAATGTCCACCAACAATGACATCCACGTAATCACCAGTTTCTAATGCAATCTCTCTATCTCTCTCTAATCCACAGTGTGATAACACAATGATTATATTGACGCCCTGCTGTCTCAGTTTAGTACACTCATTATCAATTGCACTGATTTCATTCGTAAATATTAACTTATCAGTATTTGCGATTTCTGCAGTTTCTTGCATTATTACACCAATAATGCCAATTTTTCTTCCACTCCTTTCAATGACTATTGACTTTTTGTATAAGTTCTGAAAATCCTTCTCAAGATGATCGTCGATATTTGCGACAACGATTGGGGATGTAATATCTCTCAAGAATGGAATGAGACCAGCGAGACGATGTGCAAACTCATGATTACCTAACGTCATTGCATCAGCCGGTAAGAGATTGAGAAAATAGCTTGTAACATTATGTCGAAGTAGATTGTACCAAAATGTTCCTTGAAAATTATCACCAGCATTAAGGAAAATTGAATTTTTTCTATTAGCTTTTAAATAATCTACAACTTTCTTCAAACGTGCGTAACCACCAATACAAACATCATTTTCTGTGCATGGATGAGACTTGTCATTTGTTTCGTCAAATCGTGCATGGAAATCGCTTATGTGAATGATTGAAAGTTCAAATAATTCGTGATTCTCAGACGATTTACTTCCGTTTATGTTAGCAGAAATCATAAGAAGCACAAATAATGTTGTTATCATTGAAAGAAAGCCAACAAAAGATACTGACAATAAATTAAATCTCATTATTTAGCAAAATAATATGATTAAGATGTTATTTTATTGAAATACTGCGGCCTTTCTAAGCCGTAAAAAGTGACTAAATTTATTTATTTATGAAATTTGGGAGAGTAAGAAAAATTGCTGATGAGAAATGATAACAAAAATATATATATATGAGCGGCACGTTTCTGAATTCACTCTTATTCTCTTTCTCGAATGCCTTAAACTCTTTTGACTTTAAGACTACGTACGTCATTAATTTAAATTTATAATGAAGCAAATAAGAACATAAATTCACGTGAAATTTGAAACGTCATTGCTTTCGAATTTTGTTTGATATTGTACGATAAAGTCTGTTGCTTTTTAGACTGTAACTGTGTGGGATCTTTCATGGAAATGTTATCCTTTAGGTGCTTTCAGTCTTGAATAATGTAATTCATTACTATTTTGCATAACCTACATACAATTTTGTCTATGAATTGTAAACCTACATTGAATGATAATTTGGCTGATGATGCTATTGATAATAATGTTGCTTTAATATGTATTTATCTATCCTCGAGGTTACGGAATTTTAAACTGCTCCAAAATCAGAGGTTTCATTGTATATTAATTATTAAAAACCGGTGAAATCAAAAGTGAAAAGATTCAATGGCAATAAAAATAAAAAATTGCTTTAAACTTTTAAAATAGAGAACAAGTTCAATTGAATAGTCCTTGAATTTAAGTGGATTTATTCAGTGGTATAATTTTCCCAGCGTATTCTTTTCAATAGTGTCGTATTTTATTTCATTATTCAATAAAAGGAAATTCGAGTATTGTTCTGATATTGTCCAATGGAAATAGATATATCATTTACGTATTCAACTCTCACACTTTAATGGATATTTTGACATTTTCATTTTTATATTCACACCGTTTTCACGTGTGAATCTATTGGTTTTGTTCAGATTGAAAAATCAGTTTTTCGCATTTTGTGAGAAAACAAAGCAAAATTGGTTATAAAAGGGCAAGAAGAAAAGTTTGTGCCTGAAATTTTACATCATTTTCAAAAAACAGATTTCAAATTGGTTGTGGCATTGCTGAGAAAATCGCAAAATACGCTTTCTGTAAGCAAACAAGCAAGCAAGCAAGCAAGCAAGCAAGCAAGCAAGCAAGCAAGTTAATCAGCAAGAAATCTCAATAACGAGACATTGTAGAGACTTCTAGTTTTTTACATTTGATCCGTGCTGCTCTATAGAAGAGCTGTATTGTTTTTGGGCAAGGTAGGAACTGCCCTTGCTTCAGAAATGGCAAAAAACTTTCCTTTCTTACGAATTTTTTAAAACAAAAGTTGACTGTGATTTTTATAAAATTCAACTTTGGATGAAATTTTTTTTTAAAAAATTTTTAAAGAATATTTGGCATATTCGTCAAGCTTTATACCTTTAAACTTATGTTGAGCGTAGCTCAGCTGACTCGATAGCTTTATATCTTCAAACTTATGCTGAGCGTAGCTCAGCTTACGCGATAGCTTTATAACTTCAACTTATGCTGAGCGAAGCTCCACTGCCTCCCTAGCTTCATATCTTCAAACTTATGCTGAGCGTAGCTCAGCTGACACTCTAGCTTTATATCTTCAAACTTATGCTGAGCGTAGCTCAGCTTACGCGATAGCTTTATAACTTCAAACTTATGCTGAGCGAAGCTCAGCTGCCTCTCTAGCTTCATATCTTCAAACTTATGCTGAGCGTAGCTCAGCTTACGCGATAGCTTTATAACTTCAAACTTATGCTGAGCGAAGCTCAGCTGCCTCTCTAGCTTCATATCTTCAAACTTATGCTGAGCGTAGCTCAGCTGACACTCTAGCTTTGTATCTTCAAACTTATGCTGAGCGTAGCTCAGCTTACGCGATAGCTTTATAACTTCAAACTTATGCTGAGCGAAGCTCAGCTGCCTCTCTAGCTTCATATCTTCAAACTTATTCTGAGCGTAGCTCAGCTTACGCGATAGCTTTATAACTTCAAACTTATGATGAGCGAAGCTCAGCTGCCTCTCTAGCTTCATATCTTCAAACTTATGCTGAGCGTAGCTCAGATTACGCGATAGCTTTATAGCTTCAAACTTATGCTGAGCGAAGCTTAGTTGACTTATCAAGCTTCATACCTTCATACTTATGATGGGCAAATCTTGGTCTATCCATAAGACTTATGATAGTACGGTGTGAATATAATCCGCATTGGGTTTCTACCCGATACACTAGTTCAAAAAAACTTGCTTTTGTTTTCATTTTTTCCACATATCATTGAGCTTCATTTTACAATTGAATATTCAAGAACTATTAAAGCCCTCGAATATAATTTTTTATTGTTCCACGAATGTCATTTTTATTATGAATCCTCCACATTGATTTATGATTTAATGTTTTTTGAATTATTTCAATGGTAAACAATGTTATAAGGTTGTTCACATATGATTTTAATGATTTAATAAAAGAGATATTGTTGAATAAGTTTAATGCAGTTTGCTTAGTCTTATTTAAGAAATGTAGGATTTAACTACAAACTAATGATTGAGAATAATTTAAAGAAATTGTTAAAGTTTTAAAATCACTTTAAATCAAATTTTTGTTTCATTTAACTTTTAAAATTATTATTCTTCGATAGTCAATAAAGCTATAAAGTAAGAGAAATCAATATTTATCCGATAGACTAAACTAAGTTCATGTAAACAAAAATAAATTCAAGATCGATTTTCTAAAAATTCATTGAAAACTTTTTCTTTATTTTTAAGGCTAAAACATTTAATAATATACAAACTTTAACTTATATAATTGACACTAGGAAACATTAACATTCATTCTATTCAAAATAAACTCCATAACATGTAGCAATCGCGAAAAAATTCGGATGATCGTAAACATATGACGCCAAAGCGTCTTTCGGTGCATCCCATAAGTTTTTATTACTATAACAAATTCCTTGCATAAACTTTTCGCAAGCAGTTACGACAACAATTATTTTATACCTGTAATAAAAAGTGAGAGAATTTTCATACCAAATTGAATTGAACCTTTTTTTTCTAGATGAACAGGTGTGAATTTTTAGACAATGTACTCACCTATCAAAATTTTTTGCTTTTATTAAGGCCATTGCATCATCGCTCACGTTTCTAAGGAATAAAAAATGAGTGAAACTTTTTTATTGTCAATGATTTGAATTAATCGTAAAACTTATTTTTGGAACACATGGGGATATTTTTAGAATTTTTCACCCCAAAGGTGTGTTTTCAACTTGCTCTCAGGTTGTAGGAACTTTATTTTAAGCTAAAACTCATATTTTTGTAAGATATAATTTTAGATCCATTAAAAATAAAATTAATTCAAAATATTCGCCCTCATAAAGTTTCTCATTTTAAAAATTTTTATATAAAAGTATCATATAGTAACTTTAAGTTGAATCGCAGTGCCAAAAGGGGCTACCCGGGATACTCTAGCATAGGCATGAAATTCTTTGGACTACAATAAAGGCTATGAATAAAATTGATCTTATACTAGAGAAGATTACCGCGGGTAGCAAAAGAAACCGGCCCCAGCTCAAAAGCCAAAGATCTTCTCACGATGTATGCTTATCCTAAAGTGACAATTGAGTCACAATGACAGTCTGAACTCTTAAACTATTCCATGGACAAACCCAAATTGAAATGATTTAAAAATTTCTTCCTACTCTTGATTTTTCAACCTTGAAGGAATGAAAAATAAATGTTTATACACAAAAATTTCCATTAAAAACATGCAAATTTCACTTTCAAGAAGTCTGTTCACGCGAAAGCTTCCGCCAAACACCCACACACAATAATCAATTTATCCACCTAAACCGAAATTTTGCAAGTCAAAAAAAGTCCACAACTTTTTTGAAAAAATGTTTCTTTAATTCTTCAATCGTAAATAATTCCTTTTTAAACACCATAAAATCTGTCACAGACCTGCACATAGCCACTGATGTTCCATCAAATTTCTCAATACTTGAAAAATGATTTTCCATAACATTTGCTAATATCCTCTCGACTTCATCACGATTGAATGGATTGCGAGCTTCTAAGCGATAAGTATTTTGAAATCTTAACACTCGTTGTGTCATAATGTCTTGACTATTTGAATTTTCCTCATCAACTGAGCGGAGCACAAGTTTATTTTATTCCTTGACGTTTTTGTTTTTTTGTTGTTTTCCTTCAACATTGATTTTCACTTGCTCCACTTTCACTATTTTTCTGTAGCTATAATATTTTATATTTAATACGTACTTGAATGTAAATTCGGTAATAAATGACGTCGATTCATGAACCGTTCTACGTCAATCAATAATTGAAACTATTTGAGGCAATGTTGCATTCATGCGAATAAGAAATCGTGAAAAAGATGAGAGTGCGAAGTTTACGAATGTTTGATCAATAAAATAAAATTATACTGTATACAACATAGTTGTAGGGTACGAAACCAAAAAAAAAGAAGGTTGACATGACAAGGATACATTAAAAGCTTCGAAATCGGTTGTAAAATATGTAAAACAAACTGAAAGTTCTATTTTTAAAAAAATTTATAAATGAACCATCTGTTGCACTCGAGTTTATTAATAGTCGGGGAAGACATGAAGTATTATAGTATAAACAGGTATTTATCAAATGATATTGTAATAAATTAAATTTTCATTTTGAAAAAGTATTAAAATTTCTGTTTATTTAATTCTGTGGCATTGCTGTGCGGTATATTAAATTAAATTTAACATGACATTTATTGACTCAAAATTCATGTGACTTTATGATAATAATAATAATAATTACTGAATGAAATGAATCCATACTCACCCGTGAAAATGGTTATAATGAATATTTATGTCTCATTTGTGTCTGGTATCGCATTATAAGCCATCATACAAAATTGCATTGCATGCTCGTCCTTAATTTTAAAATAAATTCATTCAATGGATTGTGTATGTGAGAAGCTTTTTGCCCAGACGTGGAAACTATCCCAAATATTCTATATATCCCAAAAATATTCAGAAAAATCCTTGAGCATGTATACATTAAAATTGAGATATCCCATCATATCCTGAAATTACACGTTCAATACACTTAGGATACTTTGGGATACCTCAATTTTAATTCATCCAGGCTCAGGGATTATTTTGGATATTTTTGGGATATGTGGGATAAATATGAGTTTCCACGCCTTGCTTTTTGCAATAAAATACATTTCATTGGAAATATTCAGGCTCACTGTGTGTCAAAGACTTGTCAACAAATTGTTTATTCATTCCACTGCAGGAGTAGAGTGATACGGTAAGTTATTGTTAGTAAAGCTTATACTGTTTTTATGTGAATGTATCATAAAATGATGTACAGTTGTGCATTCACATTGGGCAGATTGATAGCTCAAAAGAGTCATGAAATAGAGAATAAAAGTTGAAAAGGCTGTAAATCTTGCTAAATTGTGTAGGAGGAAGTTCTACATAAAACTTTGTGAGAGGCATATAATTTTAAGAGTCAGGAGTTAAGTAGGTCGAATAGGTGTTTTATTCTGATCTACCAAAAATTAAGAAGCATGTGCAATAAAGTGTCAATTTGCGGATACACTGACGAATTGGACGTTATTTATTTTACTATATAATTATTGCAAATTAAATACTTTTGTGACCTAAAACCAACATTCTTGATCTAGATTTTTGATGTATTGCTGCATACTTATTAATACCTGTTATTAAAAAGCCAAAAATAACGCTATAATTTTGAACGAATGCCGTACATTTAACTTGTTCTTCGCTGTTTACAGTCATTGCGACGAAGTTAATGCACAGAACATTTTTTTGGCCATAATATTTTATTTTATTAAGTCTCGATTATTCGTTTATGATTTATATGAATTTAAAATGGAATATAATTTTTATCAGTAGGTTGATGATGGTCGATATAATGTGAAAGAAAAAAACTCTCATTCTGATTGATTTTATTTAAAATGAATAAATTCAATAATTTAATTTCCATTGCTTTTATATTTCAAATTGTATTACACTGGCTTGTGATTATATAAACGAGATACAATTGTGTGGTTTGTCAAAGACAAAACGAACCATAAATACTACAAAGCAATAAAGTATCAATCTTGCTTTTGAAAATGCTATAAAAAGCCGAAGATAAAAGAAAATTTCGAAATAGAAAGCAACATTCAATTCAATTACAATACAAGGATAATGATTAATTTCAATTGATTGTGCAGATATTGAAAATCGATTGAATGTTGTGGTATATATTGCTTTAAATCCGTCCTGTACAACATCAGTTGGAAGTTGGAAATTAAAACGAGCAGAAATTCAATTTTGAGACGAGAAGGAAGCATAGAAAGGAATAAAATAGAAGATGAAAAAAGTTTCCAAATGGCACAAGTTTCGTATTTTTCTCATCAATTATTGCGAACACTCGAGCTTTCATGGCGTTTGGCATTTGACAAGATTTCAGCGGAATCATTCGATCGAAATGTAATCAGCAACAAACAGAATTTTCTTTTTGTAATATTGAAATTTATGGGAATAGGCTGCATTTTCCATAAACCCGAAACTTTTTTTCTTCAAATTAGATTTTTTGACCATTTTTGATTTGATTTTCAATTTAATTTAAAATGAAAATTGATTTTTCTTGATTCTAATTCTTATTAACTGCCTCTATTGTCTTACAATCTTACATCTTTAGAATCTTTTGGTGCATAACGATTTGCACAATCCTCCTTCTTTCAAATTACAATATAATATTAATATGGAATCGATATTTATACAACTCAACCATGATTACAATTGATCGCGATTATTTAAAACGCAACACCACTTTTCCGCCTGTTACATTCTGCTTTAAGCAACGTCTAAATGAATCAGCAACAGAGGAATTTTTGATGTAAGAATATAAAAAAAAAAATAATTCCTTATTCATGCATGAAGCTGATAAAATACGCATTTGAGCATAATCAGTTTACGTTTAATTTTATTACAGCTCTAAAGGCTTCAACTCATCGCAACGCAGTGATGTGAAATTGAAAAGCTTCTTAAATAACTTATCTCACTTTAACATCAATAACTTAAGTGAACTGATAAGCATAAAACAAAATTATTTCAACGTTGATGATTATCTTGATGTATGTATTGTATGAGCGTAGGTGTAATTTTTATCCTTTTTTTCTCATGCTGCCTCATTTAACATAACGTATTGAGTTGGGAATTTTTTGCTGTGAAGGATTTAATGGTTGTTAAAAGCGCATTTCTTGAAATGATTGCTTTAAAACTTAAACTGTATGTAATGAGATTAAACAGCAGTTTTAAGTACGCTATGGGTATTAAGTAGTAGAAAAGATAATTAAGTTAAATGATGACTGTGGGTAGCAATACAAGTGATGTAAAAATGTATAACCTTCATAGCTGAGTAAAGTTGTAGTTAATTACTAATTTCGCAAGAATCATCTGTAGCTATAAATCCCGAGGATCATATAATTTTGTTCTTAATAGGTTTAGGCAGAAAAGGATAATTTTACTAAACATTGTGGACTTAGAGCTCCTCGGGTTTAACATTAAATTGTAATTAAATTGCTCTTAATCTTTTCTTATTTATTTAGATTCTTTTACGAATATCAAACAATTTTCCTCATCATATTAGCCTCTCGTTTGCATCTTCGCCTAATGAGAAATGTTATTTAGAGCAAGTCTTAATAGACGAGTTGGGTTTATGTTACACGTTCAACTCACAAATTTCATCCTTTCTTTCGCCCAGGTATTTATATATCCGCATGTAGTTGTAGAGGAAATAAGATTTTCTCTCTTTATTAGGGTACATAAAGAATAAGAATCTTTGAGTATAATAATAACAATGATAATATTTTTTTATGTAGTTATCTTGTATCAGGAAATTTAGAAAATAATTCAACGATGAAAACGTTAGAGGAAATTAATTATTTCGATGGAGATGCCAATGCGGTAACTTCAGACTTATCTAACAATGTAGATGTAAGAAAGAAAATGAAAAGAAAGGAAAATTATTTCCTTTTTTACTAAAGCTTTCCCGTTCTTTATTTTCATACTCAGATTTATTATCATGGACCGTTCACTTTACCCTCGAATTTGAACAAAATTTCCAAAGACGATAAAGATCAGAAGAGTTATGTCACATTTGATGTTGTTCCATTCGTAATCATGTCACAGGAAAATATTAAAAGTTTATATCAATTTCAACGAAAATGTAAATTTCCTGACGAATCCACACTGGATTATTTTCAACAAGTTTATTCACGAGATTTGTGCCTTTATGAGTGTCGAATGAAAAAGTTTTTAGATCTATGCAAATGCATTCCATTCTTCTATAAACGTAAAAGTATGGAAATATTTTTTTTTGATGAACTCTATGACATTCTTGACAACAACATGACTTTTTTTCAGATGGGATAAAACAATGTCATCAAAATGGTTTGAAGTGCATTGTACACAATAAAGGTGTGAACAAATATTTTCATTTCATGTCCTTTTCATCGTCAGCAATACATTCGAGAATACTCTTTTTTTATTATTATTCTGTAGCCATCATCGATTCTTTACGAGCGGATATCGATTGTGGATGCTTAGAAGATTGCAATGTCATAAAATATTCTTTACAAAGGTCTGATACAATGTTATGGTTTCACAACTCATCTGTATCATGGACAATCGTACAGACGAAGGTCATTTACAAAAGAGAATTAATTCATGGATTTGTGGAAGCTTTAATACTTACTGGAGCAAGTTTGTCATTATATGTTGGTATGAGTTGCTTGACTCTTGTTGAAGTTTTATTTTATTTTTATTTATATGCAGTTAAATAAATCATGGTTGGATTTTGCGGATTAATTTGAGTAGATTTTCATTAGTTGGATAAATTAATTAAGAAGTCTGAGCCTTTGGATTATTATTTTCAGTCTATGTGATGATTTTGATGTTTATCATCTTAATATTAGCTCAAAGTTTTAAATTTGATTTAAAGATATTATTTTTAACTTCGCAATTCAAGATCTTTTAATGAAATGATGTTTTTACGTCATAAGAATCAAAGTTTTTCATTGACAAGCGTAATAATT